AGAAGGGTACTGGCGTAGCCGGAGTCGACGCTCGTGAACACGATGGAAGCTGTTGCGAGGGCGGCCGCTGTCTCACCTGCCAGATCCGATCCTAGAAGCATTCGGGGCGAACTCTAAGCTGCTGTGCGTTGTACGTGCTGGATTGGTTCTTAGGGCTGTTATAATTCTAATTATACAGTCATTTAAAATTGAAGTATCCACCGCCGCAGGATCTGAAGTGTATCTTCCAATTTTACGACTCGAATATGAAGAATGTATCCTCAGGATACGTTTTGTAATTGAGAAAGCAGAGGGCCATTTAAGTGAATCCTACCTGGATGGGACGTATCGATCTTGTACGCGGGTCTGCTCATCGTCATGTCCTCGGGACGCCCCCAGTATGCGTGGTCCACATCTCCTTGTCCTACTTGTCCGTACAATTCGTTCTGGCTCACGTGCGCCTTGATGAAGTAGTCCGTGCCCCATTTAATCAATTTGCGAACATCAGCCAGAGCGCCTGTGACAATCAACGATCGGATAACGTGTGTTCGGAAACATTGATTTTCGTATGAGGAAGATGAGAGGACTTTTAGCAGCATTTTCAAGTGACATCAGAGAAAATTCACAATATACTTGTTTTGCGTCGTAAGCGTAATCTTGTATTTATTTACAAATCCTAATGCGAAATTTCTGGTACAGATTCCCTGATTCGTTTAAAGAATTCTGTTCGTAACTTCGTATGTCTTACCTGCTGCGACGTATCCTGCTTCGTCGTCCACAACACCCCAAGCTATGGTGGTAATTGTGTACGCCATAGGGAAACCGAACTTGACATAGTCACCAGCTGTGGAAACACAAAAACCATACAGACGCATTTCACTACCACACGAATGTCATTTATAAAAAGCCATATCATGTTACTAATTATAGACTTACCAAACGTTTATAGTGTAAGCAGAGTTTTGTCGGATAACAAGACATAAACAGACATTAATGTGCCAGTCATTTTCTGTGTCAATCAAAAACATGATAAACTTACACACATATTTAAAAATTACTAAGCGGAAAAAATTTCTGTATTTCGTGTCCAGATCATTCATCATTAATGTAATGAGAAAACGCCTTAGGCCTGCACATTAAAATGTTTAATGCAACAGTTTGCCAACAGTGGGAGAAGAAGGAAATGGTACAAGCGTGCTCTGTGTACATTTCCAAATAATTTATTGCAAAATTCACAGCATGTTAAAATCGGTTCCATGCCTCTTTTCTCTGGGTAAATGATCTTGTTACAAAATTATGGTACTGACAGTCAGTGTTTGTGACGTGGACGGCCTGGTAGGCAAGTGATCTTGTGCGCATGTGTAACCCTCTATATCTGAGTACAGAACATTGGTCTTTAGTACAAAGATATTTCTCCCACGTCTTTGATACTTTCCGCTGTCCGTAGTATCATTATTCATTTATTTATTTTGTTTTTATTATTTACTTTTTAACTTCCAGTGTTTTAAAGTATTACCAGTAACGTTTATACCAATTATAACAAGCACGACGTTTTCCGGTCTGCTAGTAGTAAGGTACATGTCTACTCAGGACGCATACGTCATAGGAAGTTTTCTCTCGCGTACAGTAAATGGTCTACTATCCAAGGATATTTTCCTGGATAAAATAATCGAGCTAAAGAGAGGATTGAACTTAAATAACTTATGTATATGCAGGTACAGCGATGTATCTGACTTATTGGCCCGAATGTAACATTGACTTGTGCTATGAGAATGTTGTGTTGAGTGCTTTATTGGGGTTCAGAACTTGGGCATAGGTGCATGTATTTGTTAGTGCAATTACCGTCATAGTAACCGCCTGTGAGGTCCTCGCCTTTCTGACCCTTGTCGTTCAGAGCTGAGTCCTTCCTCCACGTGACCCTCTGATCAGAGGGCAGTTTTCCCGATCGCTGAGCTTCGTAGAAGAGTAGCAAATCGCGGAGCACTTCCTTGTAGTCGTAAGCTGTACCATGTAACATGATGATCATTAACGATTTTACAACTGACATGAACACCCATATTCCGTCTACTGTTCCTGTTTACGTGACTGAATTAGTTCTGTGATGTGTATGATTCATAATGGCTCGCGTAGCATTACTTCAACTGTTACAGGATTATTTTGTTTTGAACCTGCTTTCACTTTTTTCCTATCTAAAGTCGGATTTTTAAATATTATTTGAAGTTTCTGAGCCTTGTTTATGATTCTAAAAGGGGGGAATATTTCGGATTATTATGGGCCTTCCGCGAGAAATCTCTTTGTTTTCTGTTTCGCCCTTTCAATTTCACTGCTATGGACATAACAGAAGACCATCATGTGTAAAATATTCTAAGTTTTCAGAATATTTATTTTTATAGCAATTTTCTGGCCGTTCCCATTAATAAAACTTACTTTGCGACATCGTCTGCTCGCATTTTTATCTTCATTAAGATTATACTTAAATCTCGGTATTTATTTGAGTCTGTCAGTATTTTCAGGACTACGGTATCACGTGCATCTTGATCCAATCATAAAGGAATGGAAATCAAATATATTCGAAAATAAATATTCTCTGGTGCTTTACGAAAGATGGTGGAAATGTATTAAATACGTTGAATTACAACTTTAACTCAAAACTTTGCCTTCAACCAGTGTTTTCTTTACACGTATCGCTTTACTTTGTGCTGTGCTGGGCTGGATATCAAGTAAAGGACCTTCTAACAACGCAAGAAGCTTAACCCCCTCTTACCTTGACAAACCGCGAGAGCTGTCAGAAAGAAGACGAAGATCCGCATTGTCTCTGGCTGCTGTTGTCCTCAGAGAATTGATCTTGATAAGTCTCCGGGTTCATATTTATACCCAGAACATACGTAATAACAATCTTATGAATGTCACCTTAGGTGTCAGAGCTCATTCATAACGCTTTATGCCCGCGTTTGATTTGTGTGGAACTGTACGACACAGTTGTATAGTGTTTTATAGAAGCGTATTATATTGTTTGTACTCACATAATATGGCACACAGTGGAATAAACAGTTTTCGTGAAGGTTGTCATATTTAAAGAATATCCAAGTAGGATTTGAGGTTTTCACAGCGGTGAGTCTGGTAGAAATTTACCGAATCATCGTCCTGACGGGGGCAGTTAGGACCACTGGATCGTCGGTAAACTACTACCAGAGTACAGTCCACGACTGTAATCTTGAGACTTGCAAGGAATGCAGTAAGTCCGGATCGTTAAAGGCAGACGCTATCTTTCCACCGTCCTTCTTCACCCCACTTCCTCACCCCGCAAGTCTCAAGATTACAGTCGTGGACTGTACACGGAGCTACAATTCAGAAGACAGCCATCTAAAGAATATCTTCTTGAGAGTTCTTTTCGACACGTGTGTTACGTCCATCATTTCACTCACTTCAAAGGCACCTAACTCAAAGAGAGAGAGAGAGAGCGTGCGTGTGCGTGCGTGCGTGCGTGTGCGTGCGTGCATGTCCACACCGTGTGTTTCAAAACATAATAATTAATAATCTGTTCAGAACAAACAAAGACATAATTCATAATCATTGTCATCGGCAACAACACAGATTGCCAGATGGTTAGGGTCATACAATTCGAGATGCGAAGAATT